GATGGCAGAAGATAATTTACCATAGTGACTCAAGGAGTTTCTCCAGCTTCACAGAAGTTCTCAGGTGTTATCAGAGTGAGACTTGTGAACTGGAACGAGGAAAGCAGCCAAAGTGCAGAATGCTCCCCTCCCGTCGCCGAACTGCGTCCATAGTTGCGAGGAAATGCCGATAAGATCGGTAACAGGCGTTAGCGTACATGAAATAAGCACCCTTGAACGATTCTACTTGGAACTCCAATATGTGGCAATATATACCAGAAACATGTATTGTTCAATGCTATTGAAAGGAGAGAGTCTTCTTTTTCGATCAATCCTTTTCCGAAAAGTAGCACGCATTTCACTTTCCTTCAAAATCCCGGTGGCTTCTCTTTTGAATGAAATATGGCCTAACTATATATTGCGGGAACGAGTCAATGTTGGAGTCGGTGTTTTTATCCTCACAGACTGGTTAGGTAAACTTTCTGCAGCGGAGGATCGGAACGCTTCGTTGGTTTCGGTGGAAGCTGATGCGGGATTTGACCCAAGCGTCCGCGTCCGTGGTAAGCCACTAGCCGCCCCAGAACCTACGTGTGCACCTACAAGCGCTTTATTTTCTGAAAGGGCCATGATCACTCTCCAGCTGAATGAGCTTAAGGGCTATCGTAGAAAGGGATAAAGTCTTAGCCGTTAATTGGTCCCTTTTTGGGAAGCGACCCACATAGTACTTTCATTCAGGATTGTAGCGGCCTACTGGATGCAATGTGGCCTACACAATGACTTGCGGGGCCAGAGACGATGTGCGAGTCAGTGCTCTTACCCTTCCAGACGAATATGGTCCGTATATTTATCGCTCCCTGGAAGAGAAGGGCTGTGACTGGCCCGGAGCGGGGCCCGATCCGGGATTTGCTCATTCGACCGTCGCGGCAGGGTAAAGCATGCCGCTTCCCACTACAACCCCCCTGCCAGTGGGAACATAGTAAGGAACAAAAATAGCCAGCTATTGGGATATAGAATTGAATGTCACGGTTTCAGCGACCACTGACTTATTTTTATTCAATTTTTCAGTATCTTCAGATCAAATTAGCTATTTAGGAGTGCGAAGCTATTCTACGGTCAGGCAGGATTACAATAAAGGCCAGATTTGTCAGAAGCCGTAGCCCTGATCGGGTGAGTGATAGTTTCAATCGTTCCCAAATATGACGCTAAACCCAAACTGACCTCCATCAATACCAGGCAGACCTTGTGGACCAGGAGGACCAGGAGGACAGTTGTTCGGTTGCGAACCACAGTCTAAACAATCAGATTGCTATTTTAAAGACAAAATGATAAATGGTCACAAATAGCAATGATATCACATATTTAGTCAAGGTGGCTCCAGGAGGCGTGGAATGAACCCACCCCGGCTGCACTTTCCACCAATAGTGACCCATTCAGAAGGAAAGCAACTAGTGGTGGAAAACGCCGTGGTAAGCTCATGCCATGCCTCTTACCACCGCTGATTGTGATGATATTAGTGGTACTCACTGCATATGGGTGCTTCGTAGGACGTTGGGGGTGGTACGTACGGCTTCGCAGGTGGTTGAATGTAGTAGGCATTCCGCCTTGTAACTGCTCGTCCACTGTTTGACGTCTGTCGTGGTGATCGTTGTGCTATCGACTTCATGTCGTACCAAGCTTCATCGGAATAGCGCTGGAAAACAGTATATTCATTCGAATTGGGCTAATTATAGCGGAGTGCATGAGATGGGGTAACTGAGGTATTCACAACAAGGTGTGACTACGAATGTAGGGCGAGTTAATACTATATCAATGTGTCAACCAGCCGAGCTACACGAAACGCGGAGGGCTGTCGAGTTAATCGCGATTCGAGAGGGTCGAGCTATTACCATGCGCTATAGAAAGTTTCCCGCTTCCCTCGAAAAAACTGCAGGTACTTTCAATCAATCTTGTAAACTTTGTCTCATTGTTGATAACTGGGCAATTGCGTTGTAGGCCTAGTTGCAGCCCACCAGGCAACTTCTAGAAACAGCTCTAAACCGTTAGAGGAAAAATTTTGGCAAATAACGATTCGCCCGGTGACGTATCTCCAAGTTTGCCTTCAATAGGTGTTTACAACCCCATATTCCGTTCCCCACAACCAGTTGCCGTCTCCATCCTAGATGAGTCCATCATTCGTGAATGTTTTTCTGCAGCTCTTTTCGTCAAGATAAACTGAGGCGGAAACGGGGGTGGACGAGGAGCGCATTTGCAACAGTAAAAGCGGATTGGAAGCCCGGAACAGAAACCCTATTCCCCAAAACAAGTACGACCCCCTTCCCCGAGCAAACCAAAACGGCACGCTTTTCAGTATTGGGATTGCCATAAGGTAGGGTGTGTTCTGTGCTACTTTCCTATTCCTTGATTCACTGTGGGGTAAGCTTGCATCTAACTAATCAGGCCTAAAGACGAGCACGGGTTTGCATCGACATGTCACATTGAGCTAGGTTTGAGAATCAGAACAGATCAATCTTGAGCAAATGACAATTTTCCCTCTGTATAACTCTTAAAGTACCGTGATTTTGAGTCGCCTGGTAGGGCCTCTGCGTGCACTCTCTCTCCACGCCCCCTCCCCCCAAAAAAACTTTCCGATCCTCCTGTTCTCCATCTTTCTTGGGCGTGTTGTTTCACCTTTTATAGGAAAGCTTTGTTCGTCTGAAATCCGTGATTCCACTTCGCGCCTCAACGTGAGGCGTTTGGGTCCGGATCGATGCCATGTCTTGCAAGTCGCTTGTAGTGTCTTTCTACCTTTATATTGCGTCGAACTTTCGCTTCATCTATCGATTCCACAGTAAGTTAACGAAGTTAGATTAACATGAACCAGTAAAAGAAACTAGTGTTAGGTTCTTGCAAAAAATATGCCCCCCTCCAACGCTTGAAACACGCTATCCTTAGCAATGTAAAGATTGCACGTCCTTCCATCTGGCGGCTATAGTAAAACACTCTTACGCAAGGGGGATTCCTAGATGTGATGTCCCTGTCCGGGAAGTCTCAGTTTGTTTAGGTGCTGTGGTAAGTTCCCGTAAACGGAAGGGAACGGTTCAGCAGTTTCAACGGTTCAGCAGCACTTCAACAGTCGACCGCCCCAGTGCCATTAAGTTTGGAAGCCGGAGATTTTGGCAAAGTCGAGGCTAATTTTGGCAAACTCTAGGGCGTTCTGGGGCTAATCATCGCTGAGAAGCTCTTTTGAGTACGGTTGTCCATATGTACTCGTTTGCGAGATGTGACGCCGTATATGGCTCGCTAAGAGGGTTCTGATGGGAAAATTAAGCAAAGGTAGAAGGGAGGGTTCCTCTCTGGACTACTCACCGGACCATAACAGTTCCACCCCTCTGTACAAAATAATCCAGAAAGTAAGAACGAGTTGTTACCGGTAAATAGCTTACCTTCCATTCGTTGAGATCCCTCATCGCCGTTGCATAGACGTCGTTGATTTCTCGGGCCGTGAGAAAAATGGTAATCAACGAGATCGTAAGGAGAATGCCGGCCGATGCGACGCTCATCTGAGCGACGAACGTGGTGGCCAACATCTGAAGAAAAGTAAAGTAAATCTGAAGAGGAGTAAAGTAAAGTAAATATTGACGTCACGACATATGAAAGCAATTCAAAGCGAGAGAAAATAAGGGAAGGGATCAGGCTATGGCGGTTTTGGCCTCAAAGGCGACAGGCTAGAGTGGAAGCGTCGACCTCAGCAGCTAGGTCAGACCTCATTGCTGGAAACCGGATGATGAAGGACTTGTAGAAATTTGGCGGTCAATGAAAACCTTGAAAACCTCGCCAAAAAGCGGCTCTTTGCCGAAATGATTACGGACGAGTTTCTTCCATGCAGAACAGAGTGAAAATAGATCTGAAGGGGCGGCGGAAAAGAGTGACGATGACAACGGTGGCCGGCACACTACTATGTCGCATCTGTCTCTTATAGGAGTGGCGAAACCCGTCTCGCTGAAGTGTCCTCAGCTATACGTCCGCCCTCCTAGAAAATCGCGCGACGGAGGCTCGTAGATTTGTTCCGAACCAGGTTTCAAGACTACAATCGTCGTCGTCTTTGGCTTCTTATTGGACAGCCTCATATAACAAAAGAGGGGGCGCCGTTGGTTTCCCGTTGAGTGTAACAATAGCGTTTCGCCCCTTATGGGAATCCGTTTCAGTTGACAAGATTCTTTCGGACATCTGAGCTTTGAGCGCTGGAAAGTAGCGAACAGACAACACCGAATTAGAGGGCCATCTGAGGGAGAACTCATGTGGGCGAGACCTTGGAGTATAGCCCCAGCGTGTGAAGAGCGCCATTTAGCAGAATGCGGGCTAGGGAACCAGTCGGAGGGGGCGCCGAGCTATTTCCGTTTCACACTAGAACAGTTGCTTCATAAATTTACTTTTATTTGCATGCCAACCCGGATTTCTTCAGCAACCGTTCATCAGCTAATAATATGGCTCTAGTCGGCAATGTCGAGGACGAGCATGAGGCAGCAGCATGGGGTAAAATCCTGGAGCGAGTCTGGAAGGTGTCAGTCAGGGCACGTCGTGCGCTGGAAGTCACCAGAGGGGGCCGTATTTGAACCGAAATCTCTTTCGAAAGCTGATTTCCCGTGTTTAGGGTAAGCTACCCACAACGAAGACTCTCATGGAGGAAGGGGGAGGGGTGACGGTCGTAGTTGCTTGTCGTTTTGATAGCGGGGAGGGGGGAGGGAGGAATCGTTACGATCTTTAGAAAGTTCTCGTGGGTAAGAAAATGCTTCCCAATTGTTGACTTTTCGCCTTTTTCCCTTCCATGAGTTATATATAATTACTATCTTGACAGCCAAGATTAGTAGTTACCTAGTAGGGCGACCTCCCCATTTCTCTCCGAGAAAATCATGGGTAGAAACTGTGAACAGGAAACTTTTTCGAGAAACTGGTAGGAAGCTGGAAAAACTATCTGGGAATCTGAATGCTTTAGTAAATGATAGGTAAAATGGAGTGGGTAAAAGTTCAGGAAGATGGCAGATAGTATGGGGAGGGAGGTAGTAACTAGGGAGAAACTTTGAACGGGAAGTATACTCGAAATCCCTGAGATCGGGTAGGCGTGGCTGCGTACTTGAGTTTAGAGTGACGGCGGCCCAGGTTTTCGTGCGATATTTTCGTTTTGGACAGTTGTAATCATGTCTCTATCTGAATAGCGGAATAGCTGAATGCGAATTGGAATTCGTCTCAATTGAAGTATCCCACGAGTAGAGCTCATTTATTTTCTAAGCCGATGCTGAAAAGCAGCCTAATCTGCCTCAGGGATATGGAGTGTACGAATCTAGCCTTGCGCAAAAAATGTTCCATCTGGCTGAAGACCTTTTGTCGTTTTCATATATAGCATGCAATTACTATTTCAGATAGATAAAGAGATAACTAACTGCCTCGTCGGACGACCTCCCCCCCCCCCCTCACTGCTCCACGGGAGGTTTTCGTGAAATATCCTAAAATCGGGAATATTTTCGGGAAGTGTAAGCAAGTTGGGGAAACTAAACTGGGGAAGTGAAAGTTTCGAAAGATGGTAGATACGATAGGATGGGTGAAAACTTGGGAGATAGTATGGGCAGGGAAATAGTAACTAGGGAGGAACTTCGAAAGGGAAGGTCGTTTCTCGCTTTGGGAAAGTTTTTCCCGTGTTTGAGAAAATTTCTCTATCTAGTTGCGTATCTCGTCGTTTATTCCCGCCTCATGTATACTCTAAAATTACTATTTCAGATAGTCGAAATTATAAGTTGCACGGTGGAGCGGCCTCGCTCATCTCTCATCCCACGAGAGATTTTCGGGGAAAAACCGAGAACCAGAAACTTTCTCGAGAAACTGGTAGCAAGTTGGGAAAAGATTGAAGCTTACGAAGATGGTAGGTAGGATGGGGGTGGGTGAAAACTCAGGAAGATTGTAGCTAGTATGAGAAGAAGTCACACCAGGAGAGAAGCTTGGGAGGGGGGTCGTATTTCGAGAAAATTTTTCGCAGCGACGAGTAGTGCCCCTGTTAAACCATTCAAATGTGTCGGTAATTTTATAGTACACATTCAAATGTGACGGCCAACTTTCATCCGTTCTGGATGGGTTGACTTGAATCAGATTCATTCACGAGGACAGATCTCAGTGGCCTGCACATCGGCTGGGTCCCGTAAATCGTGTTATGCTTATAGGGCACACCGTCCCTGAAGTCCTGGAAGGGGGGGGGGGAGGGGAGGGGTTGCCGCAGTCAGTTCGAAGAGTTCGACCCAGCTCACTCCTTCAAACGTACCCGTTAACGAGAGATCCTTTGGGTGACCGGAAGTAAGG